CTCTAAAGCACACTCATTCACTAAGATGAATGGGTCACTTCACACATCTTTGATAGCGCTGTTATTCTGTAAAGTCCTCTGAATGCCTTTTTAGGTTATTGGAGAAACTGTTTGGACCAAAGGCTTTGAGAATGAGCTTCAGGAAGGAGAAATGCTTGCAATGATGGTGGATCCACAAGCACTATCTGCATAATTGGCTTTAAAGACTGCCTTCAGAATCATCCTTTGTTTCTTACCAGCTGGGTCTCCTTTGAATTGGCACAAGTATCCATATGGCCAAGTGGCTAAACAACTGATTTACATTAAGACTAATCTAATAAAAAGCCCCTCCAAACAACCCTGCTTTTTTTTTAGTCCCCCCCAAGGGAATGGTAATGCAAGACATAGCAGATAGTGAAGCCAGGAGAATTTATATGAACTGCACTACCCAGTGATAACACAGGTTACTGCACACAACCTTCCCTCCATGCATGAGGCTCAAATTTAAGGTATGGGCAGACAAGCCAACCGAGCAATCCTATGAAAATTACGGGAGAGCTTTATAATGCCTACATGGATGACTTACTTACAGTCAAAGTGAAGAAGAATGAACAGTCTCACCCCAGCTCTCTAGCTAGGTTAATGTAATAGGAAGTCTGTTGGCCACAATAAATATAACAACTGCCTCAGAAATGTCCTCTGGGATCTCTTGTTTGCCACAATTTCCCTCCTGTTTTTCCCAGTCCTTCTTACATGATATCATTCCAGCTGTTTACTTCACATTCAGAGATAAGAGCTTAGACTGAACTACATTTTGTGACATGTACATTGACGAGACCTCAACTTGGTTAGGATGAAATCTGGCTTTTCTTCACTTTCCCAAAAATGAGTGTGTAGGAACCTAGCAGATGGAAGAGCTCACCACAGCAAAAAGGCCCTGCTCCTCCTCTCTTCTTGCAGGAAAATCTTTGTAGAATGTTAAGCCAGGCTGTCATCACCTGCAGCACAAAATGGCCTAAAACTTGAACCAAGACAGAACTAAAAGAAGGGTTTCCTCATCTACATTCTGTATCTGAATGCACTCAGGAATATTTTACCAGCATATAGAGCATGAATGTTCTCATAAAATAGCATACAGACTCAGTACCTAACTAGGAAAACATCAGACCCTGTATATTCCTTATGGAATTTACATATAAATATGACTAATTACAAAATTTGCTATTTAGACAATTGAGATATTTGACACTACACTTCTTGCACCTGGGAGTGAGGGATATGTTGAACTCATAATGCATTCTTGAGATGAAACTAAAAGATAAATATCAAATTATCAGGATTATTACCTGTAGTATATCTGAGTTCCTCAGAAAATTGCCATCCAAATACTATTATAATTTTAAGCTTTTTGATTGAAAGATTCACAGTGTAAGTCACAATACCAATGGCTTGCTAAATAGCCTTTAAAAGAAACCCCTATCTTGTAGCCAAGATGTTGTATATAAAATATAGATAAACACTTTTATTATGCTATATTGAATGCAGGTATTTGGAGGGATGGCTAATGGGAAGCAACCAGCGACTTTACTAGACTGAAAGAGAAGTGTCTTAACTGACACTGGTGATGATCTGTTATATGGGTTTTAATAATGGACAATAACAGGGCTTTTAAAGACTTGTTCTAAAAATGAGTACAAAGCTGGTAGGTACACTCAGGTTTCAGTACATAGTATTACTGCCAAGAATATTTTCCAAAGAATTTTGCAAAAAGTTAACAGAAATCACACTTCCTTGAAGATTAACTTTGCAAATTTGTCCTGGTCAAGGACTCAAATGACGTCTAATAGATTTGTAATTCAGAGTAACTCCTCCCTCCCTCACCGCCCCCAAGAAAATCCTCTCCTTAGCAATATCCTCTGATTTTATTTTGGCATGCTGTCAGTGGATTTTGCACTGACTTTGTTCCCTGGCTTACAAAATGTAGAGATGATTTAGACCATCCACTTTTAAGCCTTGTTAATGTTGATGCCAGAGTAACATGATTTGCTTGAGCAGAATTAAAAGTTTCTAACATAATGACCATGGTAAAATGTTACCATGGTGTCAAATTAAATTTATAAAATGTTCTTAGTGTGTGGAAGGCCTTGATTAGACTGCGAGTAGGAATATATTGGTTTTCATTTTTAATTCAGAGTTCACCATT